TGAAGGGCAGGTTGGATGGGGCTTGGAGCAACCCGGGCTGGTGGGAGGTGTCCCTGCCCATGCAGGGGGTTGGAACTAGATGATCTTGAAAGTCCTTTCCAACCCAAACCAGTCTGGGATTCTGTGACTGAATTTCCTGTCTGAATCCATGAGACATGAGGTGATCCCTTCTCAAGCTGTTGAGCAGCAAGTGAAGCAGAGAAGGTCTGAGTACCTTGTGGCACGAGTGCTAGAGACACCAGCTCAGAACCTTCCCCCATTCCTTACCTTTCTGGAGGCAAGAGCTCTGCACTGCCCTGCCTTTTGCCTCGGGGTGGTGCTGGTCTGGCACTGCTGGGACGGGGAATGTGCCTGCAACAGAAAAGAGGCTGTTTTCATTTATACTAGAAAAGGAAGCCTCACATGTCCCCCAAAGGAAGAGACACAGGTGAGTCACACAATGTTGGAAGGGACCTTAGAGATCATCCAGTTCCAACCCCCCTGCCATGGGCAGGGAGGAAGTTGTGTAGGTAACACAATGTTCTTCTGAGACTCTCCACATGTCCCTCAGGTTTCAGTAACATCACATCAAAGCCCTTTATGGGTTAAGCAACTAAGTCCAAAACACTTCACAGTGTTCAAATGTTCTGCATGGAAGGAAATGAAAGTAAATAATGTGGGAGAAGAAGAAAAAATTAAGAAAATTGGGGCTGCTCAGCCTGGAGAAGAAAAGACTCCAGGGAGACCTTAGAGCACCTTCCAGTGCCTGAAGGGGCTCCAGGAAAGCTGGGGAGGGGCTCTTCATCAGAGAAGACAGTGATAGAACAAGGGGTGATGGTTTTAAACTGAAAGAGGGGAGATTGAGGTGAGGTATTAGAAGAAATTCTTCACTCTAAGGGTGGTGAGGAACTGGGATGGGTTGCCCAGGGAGGTTGTTGATGCCCCATCCCTGGAGGTTTTTAAGGCCAGGCTGGACAATGTTTTGTGCAGCCTGGTCTAGTGGTGGGTTCCCTGCTCATGGCAGGGGGGTTGGAACCTGATGATCTTTAAGGTCCCTTCCAACCTTAATGATTCTATGATTCTAATATTTAATATTTGGTAGCACAAGCAGAAACATCCTGCTCCAAGTGGCCTTGCTGGTTGCAAACAGGCTGTATTCCCACCAGACACATCAGAGTTTGATTCCAAGAGTTTAAGGAGATGGACAAACCTTTGGATGGGCTGAGGTGGAAGATCAGGAGGCACTTCACCATCCTCAGGTACTGCAGGGTTTTCAGGAGCCACATCCTCTGCTTCTCCTTCTATTCAATGAAACAAATATTTTTGGCTTGGCTGGAGAGGCAAATCCAGCTGTTCTTACAACAGCACTTTTTGGATCTCCTCAGCACTCTACCTGAAATGGGAGCTCATGAAATACATCATCACATGGCAAACTTTTCACAGGAGAAATCAAATCCTGTAAGCTTCTATAAAAGTTAAGCATCTCATGAACTTTTAAACAACTCAGAGCATTCACATCCCAAAAGGGACACAGAAAAAAAACCCATTTGAACTTCCTGCCTTTTTTATTTCTTTCTTAATGGGGTGAAATTCCCTCACCTGTGAGCATGACATCATCTCAGTTCTTCCACAGTTGCATGGTTAACATTTGCAATATTTCAAGTTGCCCATTAAGAGGGGAAAAAAAATAATCAAATTTTAAAAAAAGACACCCAAAAAACCAACTATCATCTCTAAGCAGGAGTTTTTTTAACCCTAACTTCTCTTCCTCTGCTGGTATTCCTAGTTGCCCCGGGTTTGAGCAGGGGGTTGGACTGGCTGATCTCCATCTGTCCATCCCTTTCAACATCAAGGATTCCATGATTCAAGGACTAAGCTCTCCACAGGGCTCACCCCATTTGCAATTTCAACCAGACAGAACCAGTTTAACCATTCCTTCCCTGTGGATAGGTTTCCCACTAGTTTCTCTGAACAGACCAGTTAAGAGCATGAACCTGCCAAGCTCAGGGTAGATGATAGAATCACAGAATGGTTTGGGTTGGAAGGGACCTTAGAGGTCATCCACTTCCAACCCCCTCCATGGGCAGGGACACCTCCCACCAGCCCAGGTTGCTCCAAGCCCCATCCAACCTGCCCTTCAACACTGCCAGGGATGGGGCAGCCACAGCTTCCCTGGGCAACCTGGGACAGGCTCTCACCACCCTCATGGTGAAGCATTTCCAACCAATGTCTCATCTCAATCTCCCCTCTTCCAGTTTTAATCTATTACCCCTTGTCCTGCCCTTATCCCAAGTCCCTCCCCAGCTTTCCTGGAGCCCCTTCAGGCACTGGAAGGTGCTCTAAGGTCTCCCTGGAGCCTTCTCTTCTCCAGGCTGAACACCCCAACTCTCCCAGCCTGGCTCCAGAGCAGAGCTGCTCCAGCCTTCCCATCATCTCCGTGGCCTCCTCTGGACTCTCTACAGGAGCTTCATGTCTTTCTCATATTGGTGTTTCCAGAACTGGACACAGTGCTCAGAATAGAACATTTGTTACAAGTCAGATGACATTGGAGGAGCAAAACATTTGCCCCTTAAAGTAAATTTGTAAAGTCCCAAATAGAAAAACAAAAGGCCCAGAGAAAATTCAGAAGCAGTTCACAGAACATAATACTTTTTAGAAATATTTCCAAGTACCTCCTCTAAACCCTTGAAAACCTTGTGGAAGAACTATCTTCAGCTCCTCTCTGACTAATCACTCCTCTCTTCTATTTTATGGGTACCTCTAGCTCTCTGAAGAAAGAGTGACATTATCTTAAGGTTACTTCAAGATGTTACTTCACAAAGGAGCCTGGCATTCCTCCTCCCCAGAGAAGTGGAGCTCCAAGTAACTCCCAGAACTGTGAGAAGATAAACTGCACTGTAGTGAAACCCCTAAAAAAAAAAGCTCATGGTAGAATGAGCTTTCAGAAAAACCTCACATGAACATCAGCTTCTGAAAAAGCCTCCTGCAGGTCTGCACTTTGTAGTGTGACCATGAAACCAAACTGTTCCTCCCTTTTTGCCACAGGGATGTGCATGTCCAAAGAAAGTAGAACCTAAGCAGCTTCAGGGATGTATGAGCAAATAGCAGAAGTAGGACAAAACATCTTTTAAACATACAGTTCTTATTTTAGAGGCTGCCATGAGCTGGCCAGTGATGATTCCTAAAGGAGGACATGAAGAAGAATAAGGCATATGCTGACAAATCCTCACTTAGAAACCAAAGAACCACCCAACACAGTGGAAATGTTCAAAGCCTCAATGCTCTGAACCTTTCAGAATATAAGACTGTAGCAGAATGCAGAAATCATACTCCAAAAGATCCAGGGAAAGAAGCTGCTATTTTTATTTTTAAATCCCATAAAAGATTCTTCCTTTGGGACCCTTCCTAACTTTCACTGGCAGTTGAAGACAAGAAATGTTCTCTGTAAGAACTTCAGAGAAAAATCAAGTTCATGAATGCACCACTATGTTACACTGTCTTACTGAATGAAGCTGAAAATTTGAAACAACCTGGGCTGGTGGGAGGTGTCCCTGCCCATGCAGGGGGTTGGAACTGCATGGTCTTTCAGATGCTTTCCAACCCAAACCAGTCTGGGATTCTATGGTAAGAGTCAATACAATATTTGGTTCTCATAACTGAGAATCTAGTGCAAACCAGTAATGAACCTTGGGGTACTACTCCACTTCCATATATGCAAATTAGAAATAGAGGAATATAAAATTATTTTTCATAATAGATACAATCCAATAGACAAGAGAGCTCCAAAAGATTAAAAGGAATTAGCATGGACCCTCTCCAAGTTGTGTAAGGTCACACAAATGTCTTGGCCAATTGTCTACATCTCATGAGACTGCCACAGCCTGCCACAGCCACGAGGCCCTGCAGGCCACAGAAGGACCAGAAAACAGCCTTTGACCTCCCACATCCATGGTCTCCACTCTCCTAACTAGGTCAAGCATGTGGAGCTGGAGAAAACAAACCCACAGCTTTTTTGTTTAAATCTTCCTTCTTCCTCCTCCGTTTTGCTCTGATGGCTCCACGGCTGCTGTAGCTGGATGCAAATACCTCATTAACAAGGTGTGTCTCAGGAGCTATATACAGCTTGGGGGAGGAAAAAAAGGGAGGAATAAGGCTGAAGAGGTGGAATTTTCCTCTCAAATCCTGTAAAATGCAAACACCAAGACTCCCAAATCCTTGTACAAGAAGGTAACGTTCAATGAGTCAGTTCTTGCACAGAACAAGTTACTGAGGGGTTGAGGGATAGCAGCCCTCCCACTTTCCTGGGGCCATGGGAAGCACAGGCCTGTTGGAAAACTTGCTAGGAGGAAGGAAGGAGAGAATATAAAGCACCTGTTCTAACAGGGAATGTACCTTTTTCAAACCAGGACATTCATCACAAGACACAATTAAAGCACAAGGCAGAGGTTGGATTAAGTGCAAACCACCCTCCTTAAATCACTTGGCTGCACAGATTCAAGTTCAACCCAAAGCTACTCGAGTCAGATTTTTCCCAGGCAGCCAAGTTTTTCTTCTCCCTACCTTTCTGTTTTGCTGCAAGTGCTGCTTCAGCTTTCTCTTGCAGTTTGGCAACACCGTCCTCTGACACCTCCTCTGCTGCGCTCCTTGTTTCCTTCAGCCCTGCAACAAAAAGGTTGACAGCCAAATGAAACCAAAGGTACCATCAAAATTTAAAATCAAAAAAGCCATCCTGAAGACCTGACACACTTTCTTGAAGGGCCACCCTAGTTTAATAAACCACCTTGAGTGTAAATAAACAACGTACAAAGCTCACAGAGACTTTCTTACCCGACTGCTGCCTGAACTCCTTACGTTACTGCAAGGTGATGGCAACTTCTTCAGCTCAGAAATCATTTACAGATATTATTTATTAGCTTGACAGCTGACAAAACAATACAATATTTACCTAATAAAGTGGAAGGAATTGCCAAAAATACACAATATTGTCTGGATGGTACT